AGTCTAGGGATAACATGATCCCCCCCCCCCCAGGAACTCACGGGAGACCGTTTTTCCTGCAATCACACGAGGTTTATTGACAGGACAGGAACCAGTGCACTGGAGCCGAAACTCATTTCCCACGCAGGGGTAGAGTTCGACCCAGAGTAGCTGGGAGAAGGGGTATTTAAGGGAAGAAACCATAACCCAATAACCTAAAGGGGATGGGGAGGGCGTCATTGGAAAATTCCAAAAATACCGGTGATCATTGGAAAAGTCTGAAAATACCAGTGATAATCACAAGGGAGTAACTCCCTGTTTCTCAAGATTATTCTCAAGATTATAATTTAACTTTATGGTCAGCTAGTTCCTGGAACAGAGTCACTGAACCAGCTAACCTAGATTTTTGATTCTTCTCTCCCTGCTAGATTTTTTTTGGCTCTACTCTTTCTGCTAGAGGGGTCTGAATTTATCCGGGTCTTTTTTTTTTTTTTTCAAAAAATATTTATTTATTTATTATTTATACAATATTCTGCCTGTGTCTATGCCTGCAGGCCAGAAGAGGGCACCAGACCCCATTACAGATGGCTGTGAGCCACCATGTGGTTGCTGGGAATTGAACTCAGGACCTTTGGTAGAGCAGGCAATGCTCTTAACCTCTGAGCCATCTCTCCAGCCCCTTTATCTGGGTCTTTTAATACAGAACTGGAGGCCAACAGGGAGGGGGGCGGGGGAGAGGACCACACAGCTGTCTCCCTCCCATCACCACCCCTTGTTTATGTACTGTCTTGTCCTCTGGTGGATTTCCCTGAGGTCACTCTGACCTATGACTGACAGATGTCAGTACCAAATTTATTAAGGTTGATGTGTGCGTCATTTAATTGAGTCAACTGTACACACTTCAAACAGTAAAGACAACAACCAGGGACCAGAATAGACACCACCAGTTTTCAAGGTCAGCTCTAGAAAGTCCTGTGACTCAACCTCTACCTTGACCAGTTCTCCTGGTCAGAGATCAACCTGAGAAATTCTGCAGAACCCTACCGTCCAGAACTTGGTCAGGGAATTAGACCACTCTGAATGTCTTCCAGAACTAGGGACAAATTCCATTCTGCTGGTAAATATCATTTCATTTGGTCTCATTAATTATTATAATTCATGCATTTTCCCAAGTAAAGTTGATGTATACATTTGCTGTGATTATCCAACTATTGTACTATTCAATATTTACTATCCTGTGGTTACTTTTTTTTTTTTTCTTTTATTCTGGTTGTTTGAGACAGAGTCTTAATGTATAGCCCAGCCCAGTCTGAAAATCAGGAGTTCTCTGCCTCAGTCTCCTGAATGCTAGGGTTAATGCTATCATACCTGGCTCTTATGTTTCTCTTAATTTGTTTAATTAATTAATGTTTTTTTGAAACAGGGTCTCACTTTGTAATCTTGGTTGGCCTGGAACTCACTATTGTAGACCAGGCTGACCTCCCAAGTACTAGGACTAAAGGTGTGTACCACCGTATCTGTCTCCCCACCTTTATTTTTTTTAAATATTTATTTATTATGTATACAATATTCTGTCTGTGTGTATGCCTGCAGGCCAGAAGAGGGCACCAGACCCCATTACAGATGGTTGTGAGCCACCATGTGGTTGCTGGGAATTAAACTCAAGACCTTTGGAAGAGCAGGCAATACTCTTAACCTCTGAGCCATCTCTCCAGCCCCCCCCCACCTTTATTTTTAATCAGACCAGGGAGAACATATTTGGAGCCTTCCTGAACCTGTATACTTCATTCCCACCAGGGCATTTGACAAGAACACAGTAGTTACTGTCAATTCAGTAATATCATGATTTGACAATCTTTAAATCCATTGGTACTTACCTCCAGTGACATATATCTATGCAGATAGAAAGACAATCTGTGTATGTGTCTTGTGTTGCGTGTATGTGTGTGTGTTTCAGCCTTGATATTGTCCATTGAACAGCCCTTGGTTCTATGAGAGCCAAACCTCCTGTTGACAGATACCAGCCCTGGAGCCCTATTTACCTGCCCAGCTCTGGGGGTTTGTTGTGTCCTCTTTGAAGCGGGTGTTTGTACCCAGTGCTGGATGCTCAAGTACCTGGCTGTACAGCAGGGCCTCTTCCAAGCCACACCTCTGTTGCTGAGCCTACCTGAGAGCCCACTTTCTCAGGCCCTGTGTGGATATTTGAGCCTCCACCTTGTACATCATAGGTAGTCGGACTGTTCTTTGGGCGGCCAGTTCATAAATAACATAGAGGCTTGTCCTTAGCTTAAGCTTTTAAAAACTAGTTCTTATAACTTAGTTAACCTGTTTCTATTAGTCTATTTCCTATCTCATGGCTTAGTTATCTTCCTGCTGTCCCGCAAGTCCACTTGTCCTGTGTCCCATGGCATCTCCTCTTTGACTTTGGCTTTCCGCCCGGAAATCCCACCTATTCTCTCCTGCCTAGATACTGGCCGTTCCGCTCTTTATTACACCAATCACAGCCAAACAGCTTCACACGGTGTACAAATATCCTACACCACCACCCAACCAAACCAGAGGGTTGTTCTGAAACTGGGGGCTGAGGAAGGCAGCCGGCCTCACACAGCCTTGTTGCTGGGTTCCCCTTTGCCCAGACTGTGACTTCTCTCCCCTCTAGGAAAAGCTACACACCCCTGGCCCACTTCTGTCCGGCTTCCCCCCATCCAGTCGTGGGTTGAGGGATATCTCTCTCAGCAAATTCAGCCATGGATGTGAGATGGCATTCCAGACTCCGCTTGTTTCCCTCTCAAACGGGCACCAGAGTAAAGAATCTGAAACTCATTTCCAGCCTCCCCTGCCCTGCCCGCCCCTCACCTGGTCTCAGTTCCACGGAAACCAGATCTGATTCCCGGTGAAATTCTACGGGGAGATGGTTTGGAATCCTCGTCGTTCCCCTTTTTCTGCCCTCTCTCATTGACTGTACACCACTCTAAGGTGGGAGGAAGGTTCTTGAAGAATCAGAGACAGTGCTTCCAACCCCTGGTCTCCAGTATCCTCTCGACTGTCTGAGCCTCCTCTTGGAGCACACAGATCCCTCCCTGTAGCCCCAGACAAGCACCACATTGTGCAGCCCTGGCTGCTTTGAGCATTTTTGTTGTTATTGATCTGCATGAAAGAGGAAGGAGGTAGATGGAGGAACACAGAAGAGGCTGGGAGCTGCAGTTTCACTGTCATCAGGGTTTCATGGGATGGATTTGCAAATCCCTGGGATGAGGCACTGACTGAGAGAGCGAAGAGCCTCCCCTGGCCCCTCCAGCAAAGGGCAGGAAATGGAGATCCACTAGTAAAGGCAAACACACATGACAGGATGCAGGCAGGGGCAGATGCAGTGGACCCTGGGGGAGCGGGCTCTTGCAGGAAGTGCTATGGAATCAGGAAACCTGCAGGACATGACTGAGACTGTTCTGAAGAGCAGGGGTCAGGGTGGAGGAAGGGCACCAGGGACTGCGGAGCTACTAAAACAGATGGTAAATGTAGCCAGAAGGAAACAAGGCAGAAGTCGTGAGGAGTGGGCAGAGATGCAGGGCAGCCACGTGGATTTGATTCCCGGTGCTCTGGAAAGCTGTTGGAGGGCTTCCCGAAGCTCCCTCCTGCTGCTGTGTGGACAGCAGAGGCACAGGAGGGGCTAAGTCTAGGGTCCATTTGAGAGCGACCATAGCCTGGATAAGGATGCCTTCTGGAATAGAGAGAAGCAGATGTACTCAAAACTGGGTGGATGAGGTCAGAACAGAGTTGGGGAGGGCGGAAGGAAGCACAGAGCACTCAGGACTTCTGGGAGCACTTTCTGGGCCTGTCAGGGATGAAGGGATGCTCGATTCTCAAGTAGAATAGGGAGTGATATGTAAACTCTCTTTGCAAACTAGGAGTGGAGAATGGGCTCTGACTCTTTGTGACACCCCGGGAACCTTGCACATCTCCACACAGACCACTAAGGCAAGGCTCCCTGGCAGTCTGGCATGTGTTGGTGCAGTGCTCTACAGCGGCCCCTGGAATGAGAAGAGAGATACTGGGAAGGAGACACTATGAGGCCTTAGAGTCCACCTTCATAGTTTCAGCTGATGGCGGACCTTTCTAATATAT